CATATACCTACGAAAGGATTCCCTGTGCCGTGTCGTCGTTATAGAGTAAATTAAGAAGGCTTTACTCTGTAACAATATGAATAATGAGGGTAAATAATTCAACACAATCATCGGATATTGCTTAGCAATTAGCGAAGTTCACGATAAAATCGACAATGTTAAAGTAGGACGTCACCCTGATGTAGCCAAAGTCATGTATGCAATTTGCAAAATAAATCCTTCACCCCCTACACCAGAAAATATAATAGACATTATACCAGCAATAGATTATCTGATTAGCTTGGGAACAAATGATACGATGTACTTACTGGACCTATTCAAAAAAACTGCTTTCTTATACGCTTTAAGCACTGCTTGTAGACCAAGCGACTTAGCAAGAATCAACTTGAAGACTATTCGTCAAACCCGAGAAGGAATTTCATTTATCATAGATAATCCTAAAGAATCGAACATTTCTGCTTCTCATGGGGGAAGAAAACCCAAGACTAAAACTATACATATTGGGTATTACAAAGAAGATTTAGATATCTGTCCAGCCTCAACTATGTTATTCATGATCAACAAAACAAAGAACTTACGTACTACTACACTACAAAAAGAAACATTATTCTTAATATCCACGTATCCTTTCAGTCCAGCATCAACTGATACTATCGCTTGTTGGATAAAGAACATCTTAACTATAGCGGATCCAGATGCAAAAGCCAAGGATATACGAACAATTTTAGCCTTTTTAGCGCAAGACTCTGGCGCCGACTTACCAATGATTCTAGCACTGGGCAATTGGTCTGGGTACGAAGTTTACCAAAAATTCTACCAACGAGGTGTATGAAGAATGTTAGAAAGAAATCAAACGTCAACGAAGATTATTAAACAAGCAAGGGTATTATACGAAAATTCTGAAAGTACTCCACAGGCTACACGTGATATGATATATCGAAGCGAGTGAAATACATGAAGATCATTGTAAAATGTATGAACGAGCATAGATATTGAATATCACGTGTAACCCTCCCTAGAAATGTACATAGATATCATTATTACAAATTAAATAATTAACCCACCAATGTATATAGATTGCAAAATAAAACAGCCTAGAGAAGATAGATTAGATAGAATCATATATACATAGCAAAATCAAATCATATGATGTATTACTTGCTGAAATTGGAGCTAGCCAATAATAAAAATGGCCATACTACACGTGATATTCAATATCTACGCTCGTTCATACATTTTACAATGATCTTCATAATACTCGAAACTAGAAGAGTCGGTAAAGTTAATATGAATTCAAAAGCTAGATCAAGGTTTTAAGTTATATTCATAAAATTTAATTACAATGATTTATATATTTCCATAACCTATACTTTTTAGACACCCCAAAACAAGTGCAAACGGTATTACTGTGTTTCATCTTTATAAAGTTCAAATTTTAAAGTTAGAAATCTTTTAGCTATCGAAAGCTTAGTTTATCGCCGTATTTAAAACTTGAAGTTTGGAGCCAGGTTTAAATACGTGAAAATAAAAGTGCTACTGTCCATAAATGTATTTAATTAAATTCATTCTAATAATTGGTATTAGCAACAAATATTTTAAGGTTTATTTAATATCTGGTCGTATGATATTTGTTTGCTTAATCTTTAAATAATCTATATGGGATTGGATATCTGCAACGGTAGTAAAAGGCCTATCAAATAAACATACATGAATTAAATCACTGTTTAGTTCGTGAATCTAAACGACTTATTTTTAAAACTACAACCTCACGTAATCTAAAGGATAATCTTTTTTCAGCAAATTAGCTAATACTCTCGCGGGTCCAAATAATATGAAATTATTAATTCCATTTTCCTTACAATATCTTATACTCTTATGCCATTGAACAGTGCCAGTTACTTGTCGAACTAACAGAGAAGGTATCTCAGATACTGATTGTATCTATTAGAATATATTTAAAGCTCAGTAATAAGCATTGAACAATAAATGAAACTAATAAAATGAAACATTTTGTATACCGGATTTGCAGTAACATTTGATATAACATCAACAATCGGCTTCTTGAATTTGATATCGCCCATCGCTTTTTGCATCATATTTGCAGCTGGTTGCATTAACCTACAATGGAATGGTGCTCTTGAATGACGACAACGAAAAAAAAATTAGCAAATATACAACATATATAATTTAAATAATGTGATCATAAAGAGGACTTTTTAATAGGGTTATTAGCAGTTTTTTCCAAACCAAGTGTGATTATAAGGGGTCGACTGTGTATGATAATACTCACGACACAGGAAGGTCCAAAGCACGTGCAGCAAGATGCTGTGATTGTAAAACACGTGATGCATAATCTACAGCTTTGCCTGTTCCACTAATGACTGCCTGCCATACAAGATGGGAATTATATCATGCAATCATAATTTTGGAAGAACATATCAATGTTTTACTACAATAATCAAACAAACCTGAAAAGACTAAACCAATTAAATATATTAACTAGCTTGTATGAGTAATTTTATTGAAATTATTATGAAAAGAAATTAATATAATTTACGCACACTATTGATGTTGGCGAGTTCTACCAATTCACCCTCTGGCAAAGTTGAGCAAATTTCATCTATTGAAGTTTTAAGGTTGTCTAAATTTTTTTCTCGAACAATCAAAGCAGACATGGCTGTTTTTACTCCCAATTGAGAAACCGTATTTGCCATGGCTTCTCCACGAAGTCTCTACAAGTAGATTAAAACTTAAAATGTAAAATTTATTGTCATTAAAAATATATTTAAAATACTTACAACAAGTTTAACAGCATCACGTAGTGATAATGACTGAGTAGCAACCAAAGCCGTATATTCTCCTAAAGAATGTCCAAGTGCGTATGTACAAGCAGACGAGACATCAAAACCATATTCACTCTTTACAAAGAAAAAAAAAATTCAATTATATCTTCAGCAGTTTACTTAAAATGCAATTGAAGTGGATATCTAACGCTTACCTCTAAGACTCGAAGAGTGGCTACAGACATCGTCAATATTGCAGGTTGTGCATTTTGTGTTTGAGTCAGATCTTTCTAATATTACGATGATAATTTTAAAGCATTATTATATATTTTTTTTTTTTAAAAAAAAAAAAAAAAGATATAAATTAAACGATTACTTGATGCCCTTCAAACATTAATTTTGTCAAATTTGATCCTAACGCGTCATCAGCTTCTTCAAATACTTGACGTGCCGAAGGATAATCCGAATAAAGATCTTTACCCATTCCAACGTACTGAGCACCTTGCCCTAGGAAAACAAATTTGTAAGAACAAGGTCGTATAGTATAAATAATAGCAAATACTGATATAAATGCTCTCGTTATAGCGAACTCTCGTATAGTGAAGGTTAAATATAAAAGAATTGTAAATTACAGCATTATTAAATTTCAGCTCGACATAAGCTATAGTGAAGACTTTTTTTCAGCCCGATGACTTCACTATAACGAGATTCACTTGTATTAGACTTTGTGTAAGATAGTAAGCAAATAATTCCTAGATATTTATAATACCTGGAAACAAAATAGCGCACTGTGATTTCTCAAACCCGCATCTGCTCTGTCAAATGAAGGTACAATGCACCCGAGGCTTTTAAATGTTAAACGCCTTTGAAGCATATAAGAGGCGATTTCGTTAATAACTTGACTTACCATCGCAGTTCGAATTTGAGTTACTTGATAGCTTGAAAAAGTCAAATTTCGACTATAGGCTCGAAAGAACGTAAATGTGAACATTGCGGTAAAATACGGAACGATTATAGATCTTTTTAAATTCTGCCGAATATATCGAAAAAGAGTACATGCAATGTTCGGCCAATCTGAATTAATATGGGTTATACCTCTCGCGCGCAATGGCATAGTAGAAGTTCGTTTTTGATTGGCTAAAATTAGATAAAATCTGACTGGTGACGATCGTTTTTTTATACAGTCAACTGTAATTTTTAAAGTACTCATATATAGAGGTCTTATCCGAATATTCATTTGTTCAATAATTTAATATTCGAATATTCATTGAAAAATTTTGAATGAATATTCGAATATTCAGTGAATATTCACTGAATATTGTATAGTATAAAAAATTTTATACTTTATTAATAATATTATGATTAAATAACTAGCTAATAGTTAATATATAAAATTAGAAAGTTTAAAGCAATTTTAAATATAAAAACACAACTTATTAGTATTTAATTTAATACTAATTATTGAAAAACAAATATATTAAGAAATAATATAGATTTATATTTTAATTTATAAAAATTTTACATTTATTAATAAATAATTTTATGGTTAATAATATATTTTTTTTATTTATAAATTAATTTAGTACAAGTAGAGTAAATATACTAAATCTATTATATCTAATTTTAGATTTAACTAATTAATTAGATAATTTTAATTATATATATATTCAATAAATATTCAATGAATTATTTGGTGAAAAAAATCTTATTCGAGTATTTAAATATTTACTAAATATTCAAATATACTATTCATCAGATCAAACCTCTACCCATTTAGTGCTATTTAATATTGGGATGTTCTATAGAATAGGTGGGCAATATAAAAAATAAACTCCGCTAACAATTAGTAATCATTAATAAATATTTAGCGGAGTTGCAGAGTTTGTGGAGTTTGCCCACCTATTCTATAGAACATCCTAATATTGTTACAAAATTTGATTTTGTCATATATGATAATCAAAACATATTATTAATCAATCAAATCGATTAAAAAATTTAATTGTGATATTTCAAATTTTGATTATATACCCAAATACAGTAAAACCTCTATAAGTACACTCTCTATAAATGCACACCATCTTTATATGCATACTATAGCCTAGTTCCAAGCTTAAAATTTAGACACCTTCTATGTTTTGCATGTGCAACAACTCATATAGACCAATTTTTACCGATTTGTGTAGATCATATCTCAAAAATTAGGTTAATTCTGGTCAATTTTTGTAGATCATTTGGCCTTTGAAAAACTCATCTCCAACTCATCTCCATAGGTCAAATGATCTGCAAATTTGACCAAAATTAACCTAATTTTTGGGGTCCGATCTACATAAATCGGTAAAAATCAGCCCATATACTTTAAGTTTTGTGCATATTAAAATTTATCTATAAATGTACCCATGTAATAATTACATTATGATAGCCAATCAGAAGCTTTAAAATTAAAAATATAATCTGAATATTCACAAGTTTTATTATACTATAATACAGTATAATAAATTTTATGAATTAATGTTTTCAAATAAATATTTTAATGTTCTTGAGAATATTAGAGAAATATTGAATAGTTGAAAATTAATTATATAGTATATATATATTAATATTTTAGTCCCATAATGATTCATATTAAATTTATTGGCTAATCTAGAACCCCTAATAATCTATATAAAGGTTATATTTAAAAAATTGCTATTATGGGCTCTTTTTAAAAAAAAGTTATATTTAAAAAGTAGATATTGGGTAAAAAAATTATATTTAAAAACAGATAATCACCAAATAGAATATATTTAAAATTATGCTAATAGAATAAGTATTATAAATTTTATATTTAAAATATGCTAATAAAAAATATAAGATAAGTTCTGTTTTTTTATTTTATTTTAGTAAGTATATAATACTAGGCAAAAATTATTAAATAACAGTAATTTGGCTCAAACGAACAGATGATTGGCTGACATGTGCCACGCAGTGGCATGTATTAGCCAATCATTTATCTGTTTGAGCCAAATTACTGTATTCAATAATTTGCCCAGTATTGGTATTATCTGGCAATTTATGATCATGATTGGTAGAGAGTTGCTCACTGAGTTTTATTTTTTAAATATTGGAATAACATAATTATATCATAACATATGAAAAAAATAACAAGAAAAAATTTTTTTATGATCATATAAGTTTGCCGGATAAGCATATTTATTTATTTATTTATTTTTTTATAGAGAACACATTTTTGTTTTTTTTTTTTATATAAAGAATATATTTTTGTTTTTTTTTGTTTTTTTTTAAAAATTAATAACGAAAACTAAAATTCATATCTAACATTTGAAATATAGATTATATATATTAATATAAAGTGCTAACAAAAAAAAAGTTACTATGATAGCCAAATATAAGCTTATTATAGATTATTCAAGAGCCTGCTAATTTCTAAATACTTTCTCTCTCTAAGTGCACATGCATGCCCAGTTCCAAAAGCATGCACTTATAGAGAGTTTACTGTATATTGTTAGCAATAACCTCTAAGAACAATAATTAAAGTTTTTAGTACAGTTTTAAAATATTAGCACTTATATAATCTATATCTTATTCTAAACCAAGACAACAGTTAATATCTAGAATATCTAAGTTTCTACTATCTTTTTTAGTTTTTCAATTAATTATTAAGCAAGAAATACTTACCATAGTGCACTGCCTAAAAGACCCAGGGTCTAATACAATTTTATCCACCCAAAAAACTTATAAAATACCTGGGGTATCTTGTTTGTTACTGGCCAAATTTTCTAATTTTTGCCAGAGTTACATAATTTTGTGCTATATATTATACCCAGGTCTTTTATATGGGGGATATTTTAAAAGGGGAGTCTTTTAGGCAGTGCACTACGGTATATATATTAGCAAAATATAATAATATAAACTTACATAAGGTATTATGCTGCGAAATATTGCGCAATAATTATAGTCTAGGTGGAATATTGTGCAATAAATTATGAAATATTATGCAATATACTGTATAATATAATATTACAAAATATATTATATAATATTACAAAATTTATAAAATAATATTACATTATATATAAAGATGTAGCGACATAGTAAAGTAGTGAAGTTGTCGCATCCCAAGCTAGCTTGTAACTTAGGTACCAAGTTTGAATCTCACTAGCAACGTTTTGGACAAAACTACTTGTATTACAGTAATAGATTTTCATCAATAAGTTGGGTTATAGTACCTATAACTCTGGTCACACTAGTGCTAGCAGTTTACTAGGAAATTCTAGAAGTATCTAGGTAATATGGGCTATACAGAAAAACTGAAATCAAAATAAAATACTAATAGAGAAGATTTGAAAATTTAGAACTAGCTTGGCAAAACCCAAGTTGAAAGTAGGAGGATTATGAGAGTGCTACAAAACTAAACCAAACTAAGAATTGACAAACTAGTAGAACCAAATATCAAGATTCTATAATAGAAAATTCACTAACCTGGCTGCCAGAGTTACACTGAAGGAAAAAACTTGTGCTCTAGAAGTAGTACCAAGAAAAAGAAGTCTGTGAGACACTTAAAGCCTAGGCAGACCAACCCCACCAGGCTAACTGGTTTGGTAGTTTGAAAATATTGAGGAATCAGTTCAAGAAAAGTGGACATGATGTGGGTATCCAGATTCATATAATCTTAAATCAATAAAAGTCAGAAGTACATAATGGGTGCCTAATTGGAAATATTGGTGCTTAAGAAATGTCCATAGAATAGTAGCACTCCAAAAGGTAGTGTGAGATACATATATAGAACAGCAGGTTAATATATACTAATTAGAAAGAAGTTATAGAAACAAGCATATGAATACATATGTAGAACATGTATTGCTATGTTAGGTTACCTCAAAGATAGTTAAGTGTTCTAAGATAGGATATAAAATTCAAAGCAAGGTAATACCAATATCTATTTAGTTTAGTGAGGAAACCTTTTAGATTAGATGGCTAATAATAGTAGTTAGAACCAGATGGTTTAAATAGACAACCCCCATAGTTGGGATGCAGATACAGCAAATAGTGTAAAACCTTTAGCATAGCACTAATACCTTGGGTGGACTATTTAAATTAAACACCAAAAGTGTATATGTGACTTGATATACTATTGTTGTAATTATACTGTAATAAAAATTTCAGATATTCTATCGAGAATACCAAGAATTAGGTCGCAACATATGCCAGAGGGATGGGTTTTATACAGAAGGCATTTGGACAAAAATCATTTTTGTATTATTTATGTAATTATGTATTTATTTAATAAAGAACTTGGAGATTTTATATATCAAACTTAAGAACTTGTTATTACAAAGAGGCGAAAATAATGTTTTTAAATACATGTTTTTAGAGAAGAAGAGAAATAAATCTAATAGGTTCTCTAAAAATAAGTAGGTTGTTTGGGTTGTATAGATTGTATAAACCTTACAGGGGTGTATGGGTTGTATAGGATGTATAGGTCTTGTAAACTGCATATAGGCTGTGGTACTCCTATATAGGGTAAGTTAACTAATTGTAATACACAAATAAAAAGAGTAATTGTCATGTACTAGAAAAATAGTTACATGCTATAAACTAATTACTATAATACTATGATAATATAATTTTATCATATTTCCCTTCTTAGAAAAGCAAAGTCCTCTGAGCTAAAGTAAAAAAATAAATCCAACATAATAAAAATTTAACTCTAATATAAAAAATAAAAATAATAATAATAACTATACTAAAATTTGTAATTCATGGGTTTAGGTGCCTTGGTTTACCTATAACCAGAATAACATCACTTTCTCAACCTCTAAAATTTTATAATTTATGGGTTTTAGATTCCTTGGTTTATCCATAATACTCCTATAAAATAAACTCAACTATAACTAAAACTTCTACAACTCAACTATAATAAATAAAACTTGGAGTATAAAATAAAAATAAAATAATAAAATAGAGTTTTTAAAAAAAAGAAAATAATAAAAAAGGAAAGTTATAATTATCACTAATGTATACATGGTAAAACCCTCCAAGCATTAATGCTCAAGAGTACGTAATAGAATCTTCCTAGCTTGAAATTATAACTTAGAAATTTTCTCACTACTAAGGAGAATAAAAATAAAACAATTGTGTATTTTCTAATTTAACAAAGAACAAAAAGAATAAAAAGATAAACCACACACTATAAACAAACAACATTATAAAGATAAAGGCAAGTAATAACATAATAAAATAATATATAATAATCTAAAATACTTAAATAATAAAAAGAAAAATTGTTAAATTGTTAAAAAAAAAAACTTCAACAAGTAAAATAAAAACAAAAAACTTTAATAAATAAAAAAAAAAAAAAAAAACTTTGTTATTCTAATATTTCACTCATGAAGGGCCATCTGTATCTCTATAGAATCTGTATTTAGGAAGATTAGCTCCCTTCTACTAGTCTCGAACCCTAGTTCTCTGCACTACAGACAAACGTCTGCACCGGCTATCCATATTAGAATAACTACTAAAATTTAAAATTGTACACCTTAAAACTATTAATTGTGTTACTATATTATTCAATCAAATAACATCAAGGTCATGTTATTTGAACTTTAAAATACATTAAAAGAAATTTTCCCAACATAAATAAAGAACAAGAAGAACAAAAGAAAAATTCAAACATGCCACGTACTACCAAAGAATTAAGCAAGAAACATCCTAATAGAAAAGAGTAAGTGCAAAGTAGTAATATAATAATAGAATAAAAAATAACAACACTAATATAATATAATTATAAAAAAGAAGAAGAAAACGAAAAGTGGTAAGAAAAGAAAATAAAATAAAATAAAACAAAATAAGATAAAATAAAATAAAATAAAATGTTAATTCACAATATAGAGGAGAAACGTATATGTAGGAGTTAGAAGAAAAAAATGAAGAGTTACAAAAGAAGTTACGAAAGAAGTTAGAAAAAGAAAAAGGAAAAGCAAGGGAAAAATGGTTTAAAGGTGCATTAAAAGAAGAAGAAAGAAGATATGATATATTGTGGGAGGCAAAGAAGAAATTTGAAAAAGAGTTTAATGCTTTAAGGGATGATATGTGTGAGGTGTTAGGGATAATGAATACGAGAATAGAAATAGATGAAGATAGGCAAAGGTTAAGAGAAGTATATGATATGAATTTGAATAAAGAAGATAAAGAAGAAATGGAAAAAGATGATAATAAAGGAGAAGAAGATAATATAGATGAGATTAAATAAAATAAAGAAGTATAAAATAAAATAAAATAAAATAAAAATTAAAAGTTTTCCTTAAGTCATTAAAGTAATGTATATCAATTGTCATTAAAGTTTTGCTTTAATCTAGGTTTCAAAGCTTAGAGAACAAAGATAAGTATTATACTTCTCTTTTTTTTTTTTTTCTTTGCACTTGATTCTCCTAGATTATTAGTTTTCTTTCACTTGTTTAGGGTCTTTCCAGATGATTATTATTCAAGATCGGGGCTTCTAGAACTTTCTAAAGACCAAGAAAGTCAAAGTTTCGTTCGTTCTGGCGATTTTCGGTGTTCATGACATCACCCATGTGATTGTCACATATATATGTTAGATTATTCACTAATTTCACTTGATCTTTTTTTCTTCTTTTTTTAGCTTCACACTTATCTTTTTTTTATCTTTTTTTTTTATATTAAATATACCTTTTGACACCTTTATGCTTTCTTTCGGTCTCCTTCGCATCGATTTTTTACTTTTCTCAGTGCTTTAGAACTTCCCTCGGCTAAGATCGCGCTAGATTCTTCCATGCTTGGACCTTTTTATAAGGTGTTGGAAGAATCTATTGTGGATCCTTTACTTCCGGTATGTCTGTGGCGATTTTGGTTAAAGTTCTCTTCTTTTTGATTCATTCATTACTTTAGGTCCTTCCAATGACGATTTGAGGTAAAGTTTTTCTTTGGTCTTGGCTTTGCAAAGACATTTCTATGGTGAATAGACTTTGCTCAGGAACCTTTACTAGTCTTGGACATATACAGCACGAGATTCGTGAGTCTAGTATTTCCAGTGTGTATTTTTAGTTTCGAGTTTTGCTTTTTGACGTCTTGGGCTTTTTCTGCTTTCGGGGCTTGACTCCAAACTTGGATTTTTCTAAGGTAGATCTGTTATAATTTCAACATATTCACGATTTCTTGAAGTCTTATTCATTTGTTCTTCGTTTTATTTTAAATCTAATTTTCTCCAGCCTTTACATTCTTCATTAGGCGGGGTCTATAAGTTTCTATATATTTCGGAAAATCTTCTGCTTACTTTCTTTTACGCTCCTGTTTTTTTAGAACTTTTTTTTTTTTTTTTTATATATATCTATTCTGATTTTCTAGTTTTTCCAGTTCTTTTCTTTCGTCATTAGATTAGTTTTTATGTATCTTTCGGTCTTTACTTTTTTATATTCCTAGTTTTTCTTACACTTTTCGTAGTTCATTCTATTAGGTCCAGGGGTTTAAAATTTTCTCTTTCAGCATTGAAAGAACTCCGAAATACAACGTCGTTTGGATCTTTGGGCTTCTTTTCTTGCTGGTGAAGATTCTTGAACCTGAGGTTTCTTGACAAGCCTCTTTCTCCGGTTATGTTGAGCGTTGCAAAATTCTTGATTCAAGTATATTACTGAGGTACCTTCTGGTAATTACTTAAGGAAAGTCTTGGTTTCTGGGTAAGTAGTTGTCAAATTTGTTTTCCACTTTTATATCATCAAAATTATCTTGTTGTAAGACAAGTTCAGCAGAAATTTTTGCATATTTTTGTGTTAGATCTATATAAGATCGTTGAAGTTGTAAGAGTTGTTCTTCAAGTACTTCAATGTCTTTATAGTTTGTATTAGCATTACCCAGAGCCATATTTATTAAAAATGGAGCTGAAGGTCGTTTTTAGATGACTTTGATAACTTGGAATTTCTCATCCGCTTGTATCTCACAGAGTAGATCTCCCGGAAGTGGTTTAGGCGTTTGAGAGCCAGATTAGGACAAATATGGGCGTGAAAGTTTTCAAGCAGCGTATCCTTTTTACACAATATGCTTGCTTTGTTTTTTTTTTTTTTTTTTGTTAATATATTTTCCTACTAACGTTCTTTTGAGTAAGGCATTATAGGTACTGTAAAATTCTAAGATTTCGTTCTTGCTGGAATTCTTTTTCTAGACGTGAGGTGGCAGAACTAAGTATAGGCGTTGGGTTTTGATTTTCATTTCTTATTTAACAATGCTATACGCGTTCATTATTTTATCTATGTTTCCATCTAATTCTTTTTTTTTTTTGACTCATTTATATCTTACTGCTTCCTAATTTCTTCTGAATTTGCTTTAGATTGTTATGCGAATGGATAATTATGAAGCAAGTCGAAACTAGGCGTAGTTGGTGTACAAGATCATATAAAAAAGCATGAATTTATCCGGCGTAGGGCCATGTAAAATTAGGCTTGACTTGAAACGCAAAAACTTCTTGGAGCAATATATCCTTTTTTGGTGCTATACGTCTCTTTTTTTTTTTTTTTTTTTTTTATATTAATCGTTTCTTTGAAGTCAGGCTGAACAATTAAACACGAGAGGATATATTAGACGAACATGAGACATGAGATTTTGGAAAATTGACCATGCTACTATATGAACAAAAAACATGGGTAGAATCAGGTATAGAGTGTGAAGACTTTTAGAAACAGTCTATCTTTTTCACATGTTATGTTTATTTTTCATTATACTTTTTATTAATGTCTTTCTATTTAAAAGATTTTTACTTGACATAAAGCAAAAAACAATGACGTTCGAGATAGAATTAGAATCGGGTTAGGCAATAAAACATAAAAGGTCTTTGGCTTCGATTAGTTGAAGATAGGTATGAGGACTATGCAACGTAGAGTACAGGGATTCCAAAGCGATGTATCCTTTTAGATTATATGTGGTTTTGCTTTCTTTGTTTTCTTTAAATTTTATCCTTCTAACGTTTCTTTAGGTTAATGGCATTATAGGTAGAACAGTACGTAGCGTCGTTAAGATATTAGTATAAGGGAAACGATTAGTTTAGGTCATTAGTTAGATATGGGACTATCAGGATATGGTGGGGTGATACATAGAGTGTAAATACGGGACTTGGGTATGGATGAATTTAATAGGATATACGGGATTGGGTTGTTAGTGTAGAAATAAATGTAATGATTCTTCACTGAATTCTTTCGTGTAGGTGACTAGTGGTCCTGTTGTCATTATCATATGTAATGAAAATTCCAAATATTCTATCGAGAATACCAAGAATTAGGTTGCAACACGTGCCAGAGAGACGGGTTTTACACAGAAGGTATTCGAATGAAGATCATTTTTGTATTATTTATGTAATTATGTATTTATTTAATAAAGAACTTGGGGATTTTATATATAAAACTTAAGAACTTGTTATTACAAAGAGGCGAAAATAATGCCTTTAAATACATGTTTTTAGAGAAGAAGAGAAATAAATCTAATAGGTTCTCTAAAAATAAGTGGGTTGTTTGGGTTGTGTAGGTTGTATAAACTTTACAGGAGTGTGTGGGTTGTATAGGATGCATAGGCCTTGTAAACTGCATATAGGCCATGGTACTCCTATATGGGGTAAGTTAACTAATTGTAATACACAAATAAAAAGAGTAATTGTCATGTGCTAGAAAAATAGTCACATGCTATAAACTAACTACTATAATACTATAATACTATAATTTCATCACAATACCAAACTAAGAGTATCTAATACAAAATTTACAAGATATCTCAAAATATATCAAAAGCAATGTCGAAATTAACAAGATACCTAAGGCAACTGCAAGAAAGCTAACAAGGCATCTAAAGCAAAATCTACAACAAAAAGCAACAAGACTTCTAAATCAACTATGAAGTCATATAAGAAATATGCAAGAAAACTTGTAGAATACTCAAAGTAAAATCCATGACAAGACACTTATAAAATATTGTATAACAAAAAAGAAACAGAATGAAAACAAAAAGAAAACAGAATATCCAACTCTTTCTAATGATCACTTGTACTAAATTTTTT